AGTTCCATGGGCACTGTCCGCGGGGGGGGGGGGGGTATATTCTTACCACGGTTTTTCATGACAATATTTCCTGCTTGTTGTGTTTATTGCTGATTCATTCCGCTACAGACCTCTGCATCAACCCTGTAATCCGTTGGGTTCTGCGTTTCACCCACCCTGAACTCTCCACACATCTTCCTGCCTAAGCTCTCAGCCTGGCACGGCCGCGCACTACTGCTGATGATCTAAACCCTGCATTGCCTCAAGGACCCTAACCTATGGGAATTATGGTACATTCCTTATTATTATTATTATCATGGGTAATGCAGATTTACATCATCAACGGTAGCACCGTACACCCTGATCCCTCAACAGTGAACCCTCTGTACTATACGGTCAAGCGTGCACACTTAATTAGAAGCTTTGAGGCCATTGTTGCAGGTGCCTCCCGCTTGGAGCAGCCGAAGTCGCTAAGCTTTACCTTGGTTCAGGAGGGCTCTTAGAATGGCTTCTGAAACGATTCTCATACAAGTTGCTTTATTCGCTTAGACTTGAGCCTAAACAATGTTAAACTCAATCATAGACCCTAAACACATTCGACTGAACCCTAAACTTTAGACGCTAAGCCCATCGGACAAAACCCTAGACCCTAAACCCATTACACTGAACCCCCTCAACCCATTAGACAAAACCACAAGCCCGAAATACGTTATACTAAACCCTAGACCCCGAACCCAGCAGACTGAACCTCCTCAACCCATTAGACAGAACCACAAGCCTCCTAAATGCGTTGTATGGACTGTCAGACTAACCCTAAACCCTATAAACCCTTAACCCTAAACCCCAAATCCCTAAACCCTAAACCCCTAAACCCTAAACCCTAAGCCCCTAAACCCCTAAACCCTAAACCCTAAACCTCTAAACCCTAAACAGGACTGCCCCTTGAGGCTCAAGGAGGTCGGATCTCGCCCTCAAGTTCACTGTTCGAAGGCCCCCCCCCCCCCCTTGCCTCCCCCCCGGCGATAGCTGAAACACTAATTTACCCTTGGGATTCGGATTTTTTGCTCTTAGGGTTTAGGGTTTAGGTGTTTAGGGGTTTAGTGTTCAGGCTTTAGGGTTCAGGGTTTACGGTTTTAGGGCCAAGCCCCGAAACCGTGTCAGCTTCAAGATCCTGTTCTGTGTTGCGATAAGTGCATTACATGGAAAACCTGAATAAAAACTCTATCCAGGCCCCTCCATTCAGCCGAAAGCCAAAAATTATATAATCAACAAAATCAAACCCCCGAACCGTAAACCCTAAACGAGCTGCATTAAAGTTCAGGTCCACCAGGATGTTGGCGCCCTTGATGTCTCCTGGGCTTCAGGCGCAGGGCTTAGGGCTTAGGGCTTAGGGTTTAGGGTTTAGGGTTCAGGGTTTAGGGTTTAGGGTTGAGGGTTTAAGGGCTTGGGGTTTAGGGTTCAGGGTTCAGGGTTTAGGGTTTAGGGATTTAGGGGTTTAGGGTGTAGGGTTTAAGGTTTAAGGGGGGGGTCGGGTTTAAGGGTATTCGGGGGTTAGGCCGTACCCTAACCCTCCAGGTACCTGCTACAAAAGGGCCCTATAGGGGGCTCTAGTACCTTCTGTAGTCGGTACTCGGAGGGTTAGGGTTTAGGAGATAAGTTTCAGGTTGAAAATCGTTTACCCATAGGCCCCATAGTAGTTCCTTGTTGTGGCTTATATTTAGGATCGTTTTAGGAAATCCCAAGGAGGAACTGCTATGGGGTCTCTGGGTAGGGTGGACGGCTTCGGGTCCTACCTAGACTCTGAGATGTTGTTGCCCTGTGTTGCTTGCTTTAGAGAACCGTAGCCATGAACTACCCATAGGCCCCGTAGTAGTTCCTTTTGGGGATTACCTAATGGGATCCTAAAGACAAACCACAAAAAGGAACTACTATGGGGCCTATGGGTAGGTTATCAAACAAGCTGCTGCGTAGGTCCCAAGTCCCAAAGATCCCCGCAATTTCTAAGGACATCCTTTCCTGATTTGATTAATCGCCACTGCTAACGAAGCCGCAATGACAAAGGAGGCTTACCTACTTCCCAAATGCCCATGAACTGAGAAGCTCAAGCTGTCAGAATAAGACGACCTTTTTACGGAAGAGCCCCCCAAACCCTAAACCCTAAACCCTAAACCCTAAACCCTAAACCGAAAAGTGGTTTGGACCTGGTACAAAGGATGCTACACTGTGGGAGCTCTTAGGGCTTAGGCTTGCGGCTGAGAGTCGCCGCATGTTTCGGGGCCTGAAGATATGTTGCTCTACTTCGCAGGGTCTCCATAACTATACATTTTGGACCTACCAGCGCCTACTATTTTGTAGGGTACCCCTACATTCCTTATTAGGGTCGAGAATAAGAACCTACAAAAAAGGAGGTTTTGGTAGGTTAAGGTACACAAACCAATCAATTTCGGATGTCCAAACAACTATCGCTATCTTCCCAACAATCCTAAACATCTAAACATCCTCCACCCAGAGGATATATATATATATATACTACACTTGTGGTACCATGTCCCACAAGACCATCCTCTTGTGATTTGGGAACCTAATTCCACAAAGCCGCTTTTTACGGACGATTTTGGTCGCGGATCTTGAGATCCGCGGCAAACCGAGTGGCGATGAACCACAGGTGGGTTCCGCGTGTGGAGGTAATCGAGTCCAGCCAGGACGCCCTGCGCCACGGAGGATGATTAGGGTGTAGGGTTGTTTTTTGGGGGATTACCCAGAGATCCCCTAACCCCTCATCAAGGAATCCACATCAAACTACAAAGGCAGGCTCCGGCTTTAAGTTAGGATCTCGTTACATTATAAAAAAAAGCTAAGTGGCTAGTGTATGCCCAATGACTCTGCTCCTGTGAGCACCTCGACTGAACAACCCCTACGGCCCGAAATCCCTCCTGTTGGAGAAAACACACCCCATCGACAGAATCCCTTGACGAGGCGGTCTGACGTGCATGCTTTCAAATGACGGGGGCTTGGGATACTGGTGTTTAGGATCTACCTGAACCCACGAAAACCCACCCTGCTGAATTTCAGTATGATTTCCTTGTACAGGGCTACAAAAACCAGGTTGTTTTCGGTCCAGGTCCCGATACTGTTGATGATCTAAATCCTGCATTACCTGAAGGA